AAATAAAAAATGTATATAAAACAAGAGCTCAGGTCTGAAGAGGTTAATGGTGGAAATGCAGTTTGCCTGCATTTTTGTGGTGGATTAAGTTTTCAATTTAAACGAAAACCAAACAGTGATAATGTGATCGAAGTATGTGGATTGTCTCACTTGTTGATTAAAATTTTGAACCGGTCTTCAGACTCTGTCCAGAGTCCTGTGTGGACTTGCAGAGGAGGTGGGCGGAGCTCAGTGAGTCTGTTCAGAGGTCACAGTTTATTCATGCAGGAGCAGAACTGGTCTGCACCAGCAGCACAGCAACAGAAGGCTGTTGGAGCGCAGAGAAAGTAGGAATCCTTCCACTCAGACTCAGAGGACATGGCTGGGAGGAAAGCTGTCTTGTTCAACTTCTGGGGAGTTGCTGTCTCTTCCCGACCTGAATCTGTTTACTGCAAGCTGGAAAAGTTGCACAACCTGCCAGGGTAAGAAAGCAACTGTTATGTAACATCTCTGCACTGTGACAAAAAAGCTCTGCAGTTGGATTTGAACCAATTATTTTTGCAAATGCACATAAAAACTGTAAAAACAAACAAACAAAAAAAAACAGCTATAGCAGGGAAGACACTTTCCTGAAATATCCAAATGTGGCATAGGTTTGATATAAAGATTTATAAAAAAAAAATAAAACTACTGCATGTATGAGTGTCCTGTGAAGCAAGACAATCACAGCATGAATGTGACATTTGACACATTTCAGATTTGATTCAGATTTGTTTTACTGTCATTGTAACAAGTACAGCGAAACGTACAAACTTTAAACTGCCTGCCATGACTCAGCTGTTTTAGAAGGCAGGTGCACAACAAATGGCTAAAAGTATGTGGACTAATGAGCCCGGACAGGACCACAATTCTACAATTTCATTTAGCAGATGCTTTTATCCAAAGTGACGTACATCTGAGAGCAGATACAACACAAGCAAGGATCTGGTCAGGAGAAAACCACCTGGACAAGTGCCACAGAACAAGTTCAAGTGCGACAGGGCGGTTGTGTCGATAGCAGGTTGCGTGGGAAGTAATCGGAATTATCTTAACAAAATAAATACTGAGATCCAAACTGGTATCCATTCTGATGTCAAAAACAACAGAGTCAGAGTGCTGCATTATTTAATCAGCCTCTTGTTTAAAAAAAATGCTCGTTAGAACAGCTTTTAAAATGTTTTGAGTGTAAGCTAGATTGCATTCCTGCATGTTGTGACATTTAAATTAGTAACTGCAACACATCTTGCAGCACCAAAAAAATAAAAATGTGTCACAGTTCACGAGCTGAACTGTGACACTGTAAACCTCTCACCTCATTATTTCAACCACACCCTGCTCTCTGCTCATGAGCTCGCCCCATTTCAAAGTGTCTTTTGTCTTTCTACAAAAGACAAAGAGCCCCAGAATGATTGCTTTCTTCCTAAATGAGTTCCTAAAGCTTAGTAGTTGCACTTCTGCTGATAACTTCAGTCATTTTTTTGAGAAGGAATTCCAAATGTTTGCTGGTTCAGGCTCCTCTAACATGGAGATCTCTGTCACACTTGAGAGTAAACCACAGTATTTCTGGTATATTATGACATTAATGACACACAGTGCTCTGAAGTTTATTTTGTGTGTTTTTTTGCATCAGAGGTTTTCTGAGAAGTGTGACGTCCCTCAAGGATGGCGCCATGAGGAAGGCAGAGAGAGGCGCCATGACACTTTCTCAGGTGGATGGAGACATTTACTTTCCCTTCAGGACTGTCTTAGTTGTGTGTGTTTTTTTTTTAAGGTGACTGAAGTAGTGTTGTGTTTGTGTGTCTTTGTGTGTAGATGATCCCAGCGCTGGAGGCCGAGTGTGTGAAGGAGGCTGAGGTCAGGGGCGTGACTCTGCCCTCTGGTTGGTCGGTGGGAGGCCTGCTGGAGGAGGTCCGAGAGGCGATGCTGGACGTCCAAGTAGCCGTGCTGAAGACGGCCGCCAGTCTGCGTCGCAGCGGTACACAACATACCGCACACAACTTCATTCACAACAACAACACTGACATGACTGTACATTATTATTACATTCAACATTCATGAAGCCGCATCTATAACCGGTTTCTGGAGGCCCTGCCGGCTCTTGTTCAAATGCATTGTGGGAAAGCAGCAGGTCACCAAAAGATGAGGCTGAATGTTAATAATATACTCTGGTTTACAGGATTACTCACAGCCGTGCTGGCCAACCACTGGCTCGATGACAGTGCGTCTGGACACGGCCCCGCCGGCCTCCTCTCGCTGCTGGGCGGCCATTTTGACCTGGTGCTCCAGTCATGCCGCTCGGGTCACCGGGTGCCCGAGGCAGCCATGTTCAGCTCCGCTCTGCAGCACTTGGGAGTGACGCCACAACAGGTACTCCTGCATAAGGATTTCTACAGGAGTTAATCAAGTTTAAATCCTGAAAATAGTAACTGGTTTTCTTCTTGTTTCAGGCTATGTGGTTGGATGCAGACAATGAGGGCGTGAAGGCGGCAGAAGGAGCAGGACTGAAGGCCATGCTGGTGGAAAACCTGGATGCCGCTCTGGTCAAACTGGCTGATTTCACTGGAGTTCAGGTACAGACCAGTGTGCAGGTTTGAGCTACAACATCCATCTGCATCTGGAACAAAACACTGCATTGTCAGCATGCATGTTTGTATTTTCAGGCCGTCGGAGCAGAGAGTCCTCCACCGTCTTGCAACCCCGACCAAGTGTCTCATGGATACGTCAACATCAGCGTAATGAACATGTCAGAACCAGAACCGCATGAAACCATGAAAACATGAGCCACGGCTGAAACTGTGTTCTCTCTCTGTCTCAGCCTGGTGTCAGGACTCACTTCGTGGAGATGGGCTCCGGCCCACCGGTCCTGCTGTGTCACGGCTTCCCTGAGAGCTGGTACTCCTGGAGGTACCAGGTAACCTTCATGTCCTGTCTCCACGGGGTTTTGGTAAAGCTTGTAGCCTTGAAACATTTCTAGACCTTTCTCCTCTCTGGTAGATCCCCGCCTTGGCAGCAGCAGGGTTCAGGGTGTTGGCTCTGGACATGAAGGGATATGGAGAGTCCACGGCGCCCCCTGGTGGGTTACCGGTGCTGCACCTTGTTAAACTGAGTTCTTGCCTCATGAATTAACTCTCATGTGTCATTTATGCACTTACAGACATTCAGGAATATTCTCAGGAGCAGCTTTGTAAGGTACAAACTCACCAACACATTACAACAATAAAATATATAACTTCACATCATGCGTTATTTAATTATATCTGCACAAAATATATCATAAGCTTCTCTTTTTTTCAGGATTTAATCACATTTTTGGACAAAATGGTGAGTGCTAAATAATTCCACAGAACGCTAATAAATGCTCTGACTGTTCATGAACATTTTTTGTCTCTTCTGTCTCATTTTTCCTCACTGGGAGCTCATTTTTCACTGCCATATTAAGTTCTGCGTAAACTTTATTGATCCATTGTCAGAGAAATAATAATTCACAAACAGCACAACCAGTGCTCGAGGTTTAGAGAATTCAGAATATCTTCTGTGAAGTATAACACAGGTAGAATTCCATTTACAAAATTGAAGTTCAGTGATTTTTAACTGTAAAAAATGGCTACTCCATATACTACATATATTTAACTATTTACCATTTTCATTGGTTTCATATCTCCATGTCTCCTCTGCATTGTGGAAACAGTTTTGGCCCATTTTTTTTTAAAGATAACAATATTTTAAAACTGTTTTGGGGTTCAGAGTGTTGATAGTGAAATGTATCAGACTCTCCTTTGTCCCTTGTGCAGTCGATCCCACAGGTCACCCTAGTGGGCCACGACTGGGGCGGCTTCCTGGTGTGGACCATGGCCCAGTACTTCCCCGAGAGAGTCAGGTGAACGCACACACCAGCTGATTCAGGGAGGCTCCACATAAGCTTTATTTTCAAGTAAAATGTGTTTTCTTTTCATGCTTGTGAAGGGCTGTAGCCTCTCTGAACACTCCCCTGTTCCCGGTGGATCCTAAAGTTTCTCCTGCAGAGAAACGGAAGGCCATTCCCATATTTGACTACCAGAACTACTTCCAAAAACCAGTAAGTCACCGTGCTGTACGTATGAACGTCATTTATAGGCTCCGTCCTCCAAATCAAACCACACGTCCACACTGCTGATCTCAGTGTAGGCTGGGATATTCATGAATTTGGATCAAACTGTCAGTCTGAATAGGAAAAGAAAAACTATCATGTGGGATGAAAACAGAATGTAGATTCCTGATATAAGCCTGCTGTTGGCCATATTTTTTTTTACATGGCTTTCTCCTCTTCCTTCACTGTCCAACATATTTTCATGCACATTTTGAAGAGTCACATGAGGAGAAACTTAATGAAACTGGAAAATTAACAAAACAGAACGTCCACAATTTGGCAAAAGACATTTTTACAGGTTAATCTGAGCTTTTTCTATCAAGAGCTATGAGCTCTGTGGGAAATGGAAACACCTTTTCTGAATAAGTTCTAATGTAGTGAACATTTAACTCATACTCCTTGTTCTCTGGACACCATGAAACATGATACCAGCTGACACAGAGGAATAACTACACCAGACCTGACTGGGAACTTCTCTCCATGTCCCTCCTGTGGTTCCACTGGTTTCTGGCTTCTTCTGCTCCTTCCAGCCTCATGTATCGTGGTCTATAGCGCCACCTTCTGAAAACACTGTGCAGCTCAGTTTATCGGCCCCAAAGCAGTTGATAAAAACAAGCTGAATTTTCTTTTTCTCTTTCAAAAGTTGCTTTAAAATCACTTGACAGCTTTGTAGAAACATCTGAGACACTTCATTTTCTCAAGGTTCTGAGGTTTTCTTTGCACTTTCTTAAAACTCCCAGCCTATTTGATTGTTAGCCTTTAAAACGTTTCTAAAGAGTCTTAGGGAATGGGACAATTCATCTCAGATCTTCCCAACCCTTCTCCAACACCTTCATCCAGCTACTTATTGAGAAATAAGCTGTGATCGTGCTGTTTGTTCCAGGGTGTAGCCGAGGCCGAGCTGGAGAAGGATTTGGAGAGAACGTTCAAGATTTTCTTTTACAGTGGCAGTGAAGAGGTGAGTAGACGCACACACGAACGTGGCGTCGTAGAAAATCCACCTTCACCCTCACATCAGGAAGGTTTCTGTCTCCTCCTCAGGAGAGTCGTCCTGCTGTCAGCACTGCAGGAGTCTGCGCTCGAGGTGAGAAGACTTCCAGCTAATGTTTAGATTATTTCAGTGCAGCTTCATGAACAGAGCTCATGCAGTGTCTGTGTTGTGCGACAGGCGGTCTGTTTGTGGGTGTGCCGGAGAAGCCTCCCAGGAGCTCCATGCTGTCGGAGGAAGACCTGCAGTACTACGTCGACCTGTTCAAAGAGAGAGGCTTCAGGTTCACCGATCTACAAGAGAATGTTTCAAAAATATCAATGAGTTGTTTGGTTTTCTTGATGGAGACCAGAAAATGTAAAGACAACGTGATGACTGAAAGGCTTTTTTGTTCCACTTTGAAGATGAGTGAATCCATTAATGGACTCATCATTTTGTGACCTGCTGCTACTAAAGCATCGTTTTGCTAATGAGTAAATACTTCTTATCAATCAAACGTGTTTCATTTTACAGGAGGCCCTTGAACTGGTATCGAAACGATGACGAGAACTGGAAGTGGATGTGCTCCCGACCCACTGGCAAGGTTTGTTAGTGTGTTTTTATTTGACTGGAATAAAAAAAAAAAAAAGCAGAACATACATTAAAACTGTGCATCCTGAGAAAACATGGAAGTGTTTTTAGTCGCTAATAAATGGGTATATCTGCTGCCAGCTTCCTGGAAAGTAACGAGATGCTGCTAGAGCTCAGGAAAACATCCAAACTTGTTCAAATGCTTCTGATTTTAAATCTTTAAAACCACATTTTTATTCTTTATTTCATTTTGTTTGCGCTAGCTGCTGATGCCAGCGCTGATGGTGACGGCAGGTAAAGACATCGTGCTGCTGCCGGCCCTCTCAAAGGGAATGGAGGACTTGGTAAGAGGAACAGCAGCCAGATAATCAATTCAGTGATTATAGGTTATTGGAAGTGAATCTGAACGCTGTGATTGACTGACTGCAGATCCCCAACCTGAGCAGAGGACACATCGAAGAGTGTGGACACTGGACTCAAATGGATAAACCAGCAGAGACAAACAACATCCTGATATCATGGCTGAAAGAGACGCACATGAAGGCTGGAGGGGTTACCATGGCACCCAAACTGTGAGGACAGACAGAGGACGGAGTAAATGAAGCTAACTGATGATTAATCAAATAACCAAAAGTTTATTTAAGTTAAAAATTAACAGTCGGAACAGAATTCTGCAGTGACTGAGTGAACATGAATTGAATCAAGAGCGAGTTAACACACAAACAATGACAATAACAAAAACAGGATCAAATCACCTGAGAGAAAAACAATAGAAATGTCCTCATATTACACTTTTTTTCTCTCCTGAAACTGCCATAAAATAACATGATTTTATCTTAAAATTACAACGTTTTCTCTAAATATTAAACATATTTTCTGTTAACAATGTGACTCAAAATATCATTATAACCAGATTTTTTTTTTCTGCAAATAATGTTTTTCTACTAATAAACTGAATGCTTTCTGAACATCTGGTGAACTTTAATTATTTGGATGAAGGAGAGAGGGAAAGAGGGCCTGAAGAAAGGATGTAAACAAGGATGAAAGGAAGGAATGAAGAGGAGAGGGAAGGGAAGAAAGCAACAAGGAAGCAAGGACAAAAGCAAGGGTGGAATGATGTGAGAAAGGGAAGAAGGAGGGAAGGAATAAATCAAGTGGAAGGAAGAAAGGAAGGAAGAAAGGAAGGAAGGCATTCATGAACAAGGGGACAAAGGAAGAATGGAAAGCAAGAGAGATGGAGGAAAGGAAGAAAAGCATGAGATAAAAGGAAGGAAGGGAAAGAGGGAAGAAGGAAAGGAACAACGGAAAGAAATAGGGAGGAAGGAAAGAATGAAG